GGATTTATTTCCACCAAACCATCACATTATTGTTAGAAAGACTAACAAAGACAGTTTTATTTTGTTTATGTCCAGTTTAAAAAGACCCTTTCGATGAGCTTTGAGTAAAAGTGTGTTTTTTCTTGGAGCTGGTGACTAACCATACATTGAGCCCATGCAGCTCGTTTTGCAAATATTTTTGTGTCTCAATAATTTTTTTACCAAACCATCATTATATAAACGAACAAATCTGGTTTTGGTGAGTTTTATTTTGTTGCTATATTTCTACAGTAGCCCAGAATGGACAAACCAAACACTGGCTCTAGATAGGGGGTTATTTCTCCTCCTTACAATCTGCAACTCCAACCGCGAGACGCCACTAAATCCTACGCACTGGCCCTTTAAACCAGGGTCCACAGTGAAATCAGGACGTGTTTATAGCCACACTTGACTTTTGAGTCCAGTCCTGGAAAGTCCTGAAAAAATGTCGACCAGTAAAAACAAAGAAATTATTTGAGAGCAGAGAAACATAAGCGATGGAGTCCCAAACCTCAGATTTTATTTTGAAGGGGTGACTGAGTTCATGGGAAGCCAACGTCACATCGCTCATAAGTGTGTGTGTGTGTGTGTGTGTGTGTGTGTGTGTGTGTGTGTGTGTGTGTGTGTGTGTGTGGAAGAGTAATGTTAATCAACCCCAGATGAGTAAAGAGGCCAGACGAGCCAAGTCACTGTGTGTGTGTGTGTGTGTGTGTGTGTGTGTGTGTGTGTGTGTGTGTGTGTGTGTGTGTGTGTGTGTGTGTGTATAACAGTAATAACAGTCTGGGCTGGCGGAGTTCGACCCAAGAGCCGGCCCCCTAAAACCTCAACTCGGGGCCGACGCACACACACGTGCACACACACACACACACACACACACACACACACACACACAGCTCGCTCTGAAGTCACCACCTGAGAATGTGGGGACATGGGGGACGAAGCGGCACCTTTGCGTGCGAATGGAGCTCACCAAGTGTGTGTGTCAGTGGTGGAATGTAACTAAGTACATTTACTCAAAGTACTGTACTCGAGTATTTCCATTTTATGCTTTGAAATGGTCCCGTTGTAGCTTTCAGGGCCAGTCGAGGGGTGGAAGACAGCTCTTTAATGTTTTTTTTCTGCTTTTAACACAACACAGACTCGTATCTTAATTTATAAACTTAATGCTGATTTTAATCTGAATAAGGTGGCATTGATTTTGGACTTTTTAACCCAGAAGATAAAAGTCAATGGCTGCCTCTCTGAATCCCGACCGTCCTCTACCACAGTGGGAAAAGTAAAGGCTCTCATGTTTAACCTCATCAGTGAAACAATGTACACATTTTAAATACTTTATAAATGAGGATAAAATAAATTTAGCAGGAGGAAGAAATTCTGTACATTTATTTGCAACTCAAATGCCGTTCTGGATCCCCACAGGCCTGAGTCTGTTTGCCCCTGCTGTACATCCTGTACACAAGTAACTGCTGCAGCCAGTACGAAAACTACGGAAGCCCATTTGTGCCAATGTGATGAGAGAAAAAAGATTAATAATTAGTAAAATAATTACTTACTTATCACAAAGTCATTATATTGAGACACTAGGTCAAAATATTCCATAGAAAACAGACACATTGCCTGTTGTCGATACACATCAGATCGTCTTAGAAGGGAGAGATTCACACCCCTAGTAAACAAATATAGTTTTAATTGTTGTTAACTTGTTTCTGGTATATAAGTCTATATCTAACTGTGTCTTAATAAGATATTCCAGCTAATATTGAGCTAAATTTAACCAGTAACAACAATGGTTTGCATAATATGTAAGCAGAATATGTGTAGCAGAACATCTCAGTTTAAGAGAAAGTCGTTTTGTACCAGTGTTGGAAATAAAGCAGCTGTTTAGTTTTTCATTGGTTTAATAAAACAAATGCTAAAAATAGGAATGTTTTTGGTGGTTCATTCAACAGAAAGTCAGTTATTATATTGTGCTGTTTGAAGAAATTGTGTAATCTTAGATTAAAAAGGTACAAATTCTTAATTTCAGCTCAATAAAGTGAGTAAAATACTTTTTTTAAGACTTAAATAAGAGTTTTAATTGCTTGTAATAAACACAACCTGCTTAAATGTTTGGCTTTTTTTCTTGCTTTAAGGCCCATTTGAGTCTTTCAGTGGCTAGATGCTAGTTTAAAGACTTACAGCCCCATTGGCAGATTTCTTTGCTCAATACAACATTTGGCTTGTTTCTGCAGTGCAGACCAGACTATAGCTTTAATATTAAAACATTTGAATGGTGTTAAATGTCAGTGTTACTGTTATTTACTATTATACTAAATATAATATGAAAAGGTGTCCCTTAAGGAAAAATCTGTGTTGCCAGATCTGAAGCTGAGTCAAAGATGACCAAACCCAAAAGGAATGATGACCAAAAACTACCAAAATAATGGAGATTTCCATGTTAGATGAGTCACAGGTTTAACACACAAACAACCAAAGACCACGAAGCTGACCAACACAAATAATTCTTACCTGTTAGTCAGACACTTTTATAGAGTGAATGCCGACAGCAGCGACAGCCAGAACTGTAAAATCTGACGGAGCTGAGGCCTGTTTGTTGTGTCTTCTTCAATTCGTTCTAACTGACAGAGACTAAAGAGCAGAGGTTGGTCCAAACTGAATTTGGTTACTTTTTGGATTGGATTAGAAGACATTTTGCGCCCTGAAGGCTGAGCAGCACCTCACCATGGGTTTTTTTCTTTCCTCTGGAGTCATGAAACACTTTCATTTCATCGCTTACCAAAAACACCAGTTTCATTTTCCAGACTGTTTTATGTTGGCCCGGGAATGAGTCATCAAAACTTCAGGGTCTGGAAAGGATCGCCACTGACGAAAACATTTCCCAGCATGCTCGGTTAGTCACATAGCAGGATGATGGATTGAAAGCTCTTCCAAATAAATACATGAAAACAAATCTCCACTTCCCAGGTCGGCAGTGAGGTTTTTATTCAACCCCTATTTATGCAAGAGAGGTTGGCCGGGCGCGTTCGCTCTTTCTCAACAATGCCGTGATTCAGTTTCATAAAGCTGCACACATTGTGATTTGGGAGCTGCCCAGTGCGACCACAGCCCTCTCCCATCAGCTACTGGGAGCTGCCCAGTATACAACCGCAGCCGGCTGCTGCCACAGAGCTAATTGGAAGTTAAGTGTCTTGTTCAAGGACACAGTTGCGGTTGGAGAGCACCGCTGCTTCACTTAAAGCGTCAGTTCACCCAACAAACACGTGCTTCCTCACTCGCCATCAGTGGAGTCCCGATTGTTCCTGTTTTATGTTAAAACTTCACAGAAGCTGCATTTACATCAACATATAATTTTTGTAATATTTGCTGAAACTTTCACTACATCCTGACAGATAATCTGTGAATAAATCAAGTTCCTCTGGTTGACATTTACAAGATAGACAATCCTTCCCAAAAATGTGATAAAGGTTAAAATATTTGACTCCTCTTTTTGCTGCAGACTCCCTTCAACCCACTCAAATTCCAAACCATTTGATGGAAACAGAAATACTTCTTCTAAGTGACAAAAGTTTGCTTCAATTTCACTCGAAACAGGACTACAGTCTCCATTTGGGCCTCTCATATGATGGTGTCACACTATTGAATGTTGTATTTCTCAAAACACTTCAATGCAAGTAAAGTGTGTGTGTGTGTGTGTGTGTGTGTGTGTGTGTGTGTGTGTGTGTGTGTGTGTGTATATCTCAGGAAAATGTATTAAATATTATATTGAGTCAAGCATTAATGTAACGAGCATTTTACTATTGTTGGTTGAGGGGGAGTCTCACTACTGCAACTCATGATTACTTTTATTGTGGATTCATCTGCTTATTGATTTCTCCATTAATTAATTTATTGTTAATAAAAAAGAAAATTGCGAGAAATGCTGTCACAATTCGACCAGAGTGACACCTTCACATTGCTCGTTTAGTCCAACCATAAGCTCAAAAATATTGAAAATAAATAAACATTAATGAAAAGAAAAGCTGAAACCATTAAATGTTTTACATGAAAAAGTTGCCAATTAATTTCCTGTCAATCAACTAGGCCTAATTGATTAATCAACTAATAATTTCAACTGTACTTTACAGGAAAAGCATATTTCTGAATATGTTTTGTGTGCAAAAATAGGAATTTGCAAAGAAAAAGAAAAGACTCATGTAAAGGACTTTTTGCAGTAGCAGTGCAGTAGTTGCAGCGAATGCCCAGTTACATTCCTTCATTGCACAAGACGAAGCTCTAAAGTGACTCCCAGCTCTGATATTGATGAACAGTGAAGTGCGTGGGATGTCTGATATCCGAGGAATGAAGTGGGAGGAGAAACTATGTAGCTCTCCATCATATTCCTCATAAATTCACTTTTTCTTGTGTGTTTTCATGTTTTTATCCAGAGTTGGCTGAAGAACAGAAGCTCGTCGGCACAATGAATCTCTGAGGCGTCAGCGTGCTGGACACTGAGATAACCTCTGGATGTTTGATGCTCAGCTCGTCACTTTACATGACCATCCAACCAGCGCAAAAAGAAAAAGAAAAAGAAAAATCTGTGTTGTTTTTGTCTGCCTCTTTGTTCGAACTATCTCTAGTATCTCAAACATGGCATCATAAATTCCAGAAGTGCATCAAGTGCCACAATCACCAAACAAGTCCAAAGGCACCAGAGATTTTCTCACACTTTTCATGAAAAGCAGCCAAAGCAGTTTGTTCACGATTTACTCTGAAACCTACACCTGTGAAAGTGCTAGTTTTCCCTCCTGTCATAAATCTTTTCTTCTTGTTCCTGATGTTTGAGCTCCGCTGTGCAGAATGACGTATGTAGTGAGCAGTGGAGGTTAAAATGTTGTTTTATGAAGTACATTTAGAGCAAAGTTTGGAACATTTCTGTGTATGTTTAAATTAATGAATTTGATTTTAGAAGTCACGAAAAGTTGAAGTGAGTTGACGCTGACAAATTATTCACTTTAATTATATTTTTATTTGCCTTCATTTATTCCCGATAAACACAATATAAAAGTAACAATATCACATCAATGATTGTAAAAATATGTGTTAATTTATTGTTAGAGTATTAATATGCAGCCTACCTGTTGTATTTTAATGCAGTCTAATAAAAATAATGCAAATGCAAACATAAGAACATGAAATATGATGCTTTATCTGTCGAGTCAGGGTTAATAAAGCCTGGCTCTCATTCGGCTCTGGAGCTGCACAAAATAAATGTCCACACACACAAAACAGCAGAGTCAAAGTGAGCTGTCTTTTATTGAGGTCTTGCCACTGTGATTGGCCATCTTAAGATTAGTTGAGCCAATGAGCAGCAAGGTCGGACTGCACAGGTGGAAACCAATCATCCTGTCAGCACCTGGAGGGAACACAGGGGAGCAAACAAACACAAATCCTAATTAGTAGTAGTTAAAGAAGAGGAAGAGCAAGCTACAGTTTCGGTTTCATATGCCCATACTGAATCGATGACAGGCGTCAAACACAAGGCAGCATATGAAACCACAATAAATGTGTTTTTTGAATGAAGAATTAAGTAAATTCTGTTTAAATGCATCTATAACAAACAATAGAGATGTCAAACAGCAGGAAACAGATGGGTTGCATGAGCTGAGCGCATGTTTTCCAGTAGTCTGTGTCCAATTCTCCCCTCTAACATCAATGCTTTCTGGATATTTTTAATGATAAGCTGCAGTTTATTCAGCTGCATACTTGTGTTGTTGTCGTTGTTGAAACCTCAGTGTTTTTACTTCGTTGTGTTTTGCGGACAAGCTCAGCGAGTATTCATGTGGGTCGTAATGAGCCGAGGCCTTTTGTTTTTCCTTCTGCTGATGTTGTGGAAAATAAATGGAAGTAGCGTCAACAACAAAGTCATATCTTGCCATTAGTCGCTCGCTGCAGATTTGTTGTCTGGTGTTGATTCTCAGTGGGTCCGGCACTAAAGGCTGAATCGCAGCTTGCAGAGAATTACAAGTCGACCCTCTCTAAACAAATGGGGCATGTTTTGGAGCTGAGTCACATTATGCAAATATCCTCTGACAAGTTTGAAAAAGTAAAATATGTGAAAATGAGACTTCAGCCTTTGTTCTGGTGGCAAACCACAGTACTGCAACAAGAAATCCTGCTTGGACCCAAACAGATTTTCCCCACAGACTTTATAGCAACCATTAAAAAAGACACATTGGTAAATATGTTGACAGAATACTTCAATCTGCAAATTATATGACACTTGTTTACACTTTCTGATTGTAGACCACTATATTAAAGGGACAGGTCACCCCAAAATTCAACTGTACGGGGGTGAATTTCTATATAACTCATCTGTTTAAATTGATAAAATTAAATTATTATGGCTTAAAGTTATTAATTAATTAAGGACGTGGCCACTTTGAGTGACAGGTGTTTTATACGGTCTATGATGATGTTAGCTCAAAAATACTTTCTTCTGCACAGTGATGCAGTTGGCAGGTGAAGTTCGGTAGAAAGAAAATAGTTCCTCCACGAAACTGCTCACAACAAACTCTGTGGATTATCTAACTGGAGACATTGTTATTGAGTGCCATCTGGTTCCACTCAGCAACTCACACCAAAACAATGTAGGTGGATAAACCTCCTACAGGTACTTGGGTGAACTGTCACTTTAAGGTTCGGGGAGGTTTAGGCACAAAACAATGTGGTTCGGTTCAGGGAAAAGATTCTGGTTCGAGTTAAAAATGACTACTTTCGTCATCATGGTCGGAATAATAACCATTTGGTTAAGGTTAGGGAGGGACCTGCATTGACTGTCAATGTGTGTTAAAGTCCGACATTTTGTCTTCTCTATGGATGGCAGTCAGCCGGGGCAATAGGACCAGACTGAAATATCTCCAGACATACTGGAAGGATTGCCATAAAATGTAATGTTTTTATTCCGAATGACCAGTGGCAGACGCTGGGGCTAAAAAACTAAAAAGGGCACCGGTGTGGAGAAAGTTGTGATGCATTTATGGTGAAACAGCACCCTAGGAAAAAACAAATCGAACATGGGTGAACTGGTGGGAGCGATCACAGAATTCCTATTCTGAATATAGGGTTTCCATTATTAGCTATAATGTCATAAAGATTGAAGTTAGAATTACCATGAGATTGTGAAACAATGGTGTACAAGCACAAGTCCAATCTCATGGAGAAGTACTACAGTACCCACAATCCCTCAAACAGCAATGTCTCTGATCGGTAGAGCTAGATGTTACCAAGGAAATCCATGAATACGAACCTGGGGACTTTTAAAAAAAGCAATATTTACAACCATTGACAGTATACTGTATATAACGGACAGAGCTTCTGAGTCTGTGAAGTGAAGTCTTGCATTCTATGTAATGGCCAGCAGGGGGCAGCTCCATTGGCTGCAATAAAACACAGATACCATTCAGTCTTATGGAGAAATGAGCTGACTTTTCTCTTGATTTATGAGCTCAGTAAACAGATTCCTAAAGAGCTTATGTTCTCAGTCTCTAGTTTCTTCTTCCATACAGCATGATGCTCATTTAGTAAATGATGGTCCCATTTAGGGTAAAATAGACCATAAAGCAGGGTATTAGGGCAAGGCTTCCTTCTTACTGACTGCATTGACTATTTCTCTCCTAAAATCTTTTCACAAACACATTTTACTGTTTACCTGGAATAAGAGATCATGTGTGACCAGGCGAGCCGCCGTCGTTTCATGGTACAGATGAGTCAAACTGCGCAGCCAATGAGAGCAGCTCAACTCGAGGTACGTCACCTCCGCTGGCTCCAACAAACTGTCAAGGCTTCAAAACGGGACTCCACAAACCGATCTGTGACGATAGGTTCAGACTTGTTTACAACAGGTTCAAGCTTTAGTGAATTAATACTCTGCTGAGTTGTTTCAAGCAGTTTAACAAAGGGTTTGTTCACACATGTACACCCACCCATAAACACACACTTTAACTCATCTTCAGATTCCTCCACTGTAACAAATAGACTTTAATCGTCTCCGGATCGGCTGAAGCTCGCAGGAGGAGAAAGCTTTATTTATTTTAACTCCTGATTTGTGATCTTGCTGCACGTTGCTGCTGACAGGACGGCAGAAAAATGTTTCCACTTCAAACAACTCTGAAGGAGCGGACGGCTGCATGGGCCGCAGAGATGCCGGCAAATCATTCATCTTCTGAAGCGCTTTGACCTCGACATGTGAAGTCAAACCTACTGATGTTGAGGCTCAAGACGAGACTGCGTGGACAAATGAGGAGTTTCATTCCAACTTGAGACGTCCACCAGTTGAAAAATGCAACACCTGCTTCTTCCAAAGACAGTAAAACAAAGATGTCTCAATGTAGGGTTAACTCAATATTAACATACTGGTGCTGCTCTTTTAATCTTCATCCAATTAACACTCACAAAATCAACCTACAAAACAACCAAAGTATATATTTTTAAGATGGAGATAAATTGGTGTGTTAATCAAGAGATCTAAAGCAAACTAATCTGCATTGAGGCAGATTTACTGATACAACTTGTGCGATAACATCCTTGTTTGGTCGGACACATGTGCTTTCAATTTCAGTGACCTGGGTTCAATTCCCAACTCATGAAAGCAAGTTTTCTACTGAGACGAACAATAACATTGCTGGAAATGTTTTGTTCTTATTTAAACTATGACTAAAGCTTTTAACCAAATAGCTTAAAACAAACGTTTAACTGACAGTTTAGAAAAACTCTTTTTTCGTGTTTTAAATCTCAGATTGCTGCCACATAATCTCATATATAATCCCTAATATATAATTAATATATAATATAATATGTACTTTAGTAACAATTTATATTCACCATTAACTAGTAGCCTGCTAGCATCTATATTAGTAGCATATTAACTCTAAATTATAAAGCGCTTACTGATGCCTCATTCTGGGTGATTCTACAACAAGTACTACAAGTTTTCCATCAATAACCTCCTAATTCCTGCTTATTGATAGTCAGTAAGGAAGATAGTGGTGATTTCATCAGAGTCCGCCTCCTCTCGTCCTGCACTCTGTCGGCTCTGAACGCAGTCCACCCTTCGAGTGTTTGGATGGTGATGGAGTAGGTCTCAGTAAGGATGTGAATCTCTGATTCCCCTTTGTTTGGCCAGTCCCACTTCGTCCAGACCGGACATTAGCATGGCTCCTGCTCTCTTCCTCTCCTCTTGGGGCAACAGCACCCGCCGTGGTCTCTTAGTCTGCTGCTCTTTAATCCAAACCCCACACTTCCCTTTCGAGTGACTGTAGTCTGTTTCTGTCATATGTGTTTCAGCAATAAAGACAAAGAAAATAACACATTAAACACAAAAATGTCTTGAAGACCTACTGGCGGCTCCATCTACGTACATGCGTGCAAGAGGAATAATTTGTCCTGTTTATGCCATTAGAGGAAAAGGAGATCATCATAACACTTTAGGATTCATTAAACATAACCATCCACAGCAAATGTACTTGAAATCAGGCCAGTATTCATGATCATATCAGGCTCTGAACCAAACTGACGTTGATGCCTTCAACACAGGACTCTCTATATTATAAAGACATTACATGATTTGAATAACTTGCGATTATGATTTGCATGCAGCGAAGATCAAAGGAATATCCAAATTCATGTACAGTTTACTGTCTGATAACTCTTCCCCCAAACAAATTGCTAACAAGCTCGCTGTGCGCCACAAGAGCGGGTTTAACGAGCAGTAATGTTCAGCTGTGTGTGGTATAAATAGGAACAGAGGTTTTCAGAGGCTGTTGGGTTAAAGTACAGGGTAGGAGGCTTTTAGGTCAGAGGTCCAGACGATTTCATGAGAGGGAGACGACTGGCAGGACTACAGTCGATCTGTCATCTTCGTGGGAGGGCGATTGTTTGGTCTGAAACAAGTAAACAAATCTGTCAGTGAGGCAATAAAATTTCACTTGTTCACATAATTGCAGATCATCCTTAAATCAAGTGTCATTTCCAACAGTAAACGCCTGAATAATGGGTTCAACTGCAGCTTTCTGTAACAGAACTTCAATCTAAGCATGTAAGAGAAATCATAACATAAAACAATGTGGAAACAGCTCGATTTATCCACATGCAGCTGAGTGAAGGAGGCCTGAGTGATTCACCAAGCCCCCTCAATTAATTCCTTTCCTATTACACATTTGTTTGCTTCTGAATAAAAGAATAGTAAGTTTGACACACTGGCAAACCATGAACGTGATGCTACTGTTGCAAAATCCACTTGTTATAAAGTTGTGGTCTAAACATTATTATATTAAAATACTCAGAGTTATTCCTCAGATTGTTACGATATCATTTAAATATTTAAATTGAGTCACAGATGCTGAAACTTAAGAATGATCAGAGTCAGAATGAGTTTTATTCTAAAGGAATTTGCCTTGGTATATTGGTGCTTAAGAATAAACACAGGACAAAGAAAACAAGCACTGCAAGTCAAAAATAGAAAATATTATAAAGACAATATGTACAATATGGCTGTTTGTGCAGGAATGTGCAGAAGTATTAAACATAAAGAATATTTGCAATGTGCAGTAGCAGATTTGTATGATTCGAAGTCTCTATTCTTTTTTTTTATTTTGCCTACATGAAACAACTTTAAGAGGCAGGTGTGAAGTTTCTAAAATGGGCCTCTTGTCGTCCATCTTCACAACATTGTAGTTTCACCACAGCAGACACACGTCGCCAACATCTGCCGTCACATAATTACATACATACATAAAGTAAAGACAGTTGACAGACAGTAATTCCAACAATACATCCAGATTAAAGAGAGAGAGATGTTCTCTTGCAGAGTCAGTCTACTATCAAATAAAACATTATGTTATATATATTTTAATGCCTGATCTTTTAGATGTTACTAACATGCCTGGTTCTTTAATACCACTGATATTTCTTTATGGTGTCTTTATCTGTCAGCCTGATCCTGTAAGCCAGCAGCTCTCAACCTTCTTCCTCAAGAGACCCCTTTTCTATCATTGGCTGAACTGGCGTCCCCCACAGAACAGCTGATAAACTGCAAACAGTGAACACAGTAACTGAAGGAAGGTTGTGTAAAATAAGAGATTTGGATTATTTCTGAGCAGATTATTGGATGAGTTTTCATATTTTTAGGAACTTTTATACAATTCTCTGTCTGTGTTTTTTTAATCTAATTTAGATTTAAACTTAATAGGCTTTGTTTTCTTGTCCCTGACTCTTATAACCTATCTGGTTGTTATAACTGCTTACTTTTTTAATGCAGGACGATGAGATATCAGCCTACTGTGTATATTTTTAAAGTTTCCCTTTGTGCCTTCAAATCAAGAAGGCCTCGAAACCCTTCCATGAAGCTTTGGCGACCCCAAGTGGGGGTCCCGACTCCCAGGCTGGGAACCACTGCTGTAAGCAATGACTCATCGGCTCCTCTTTTTCCCAGCAGTTATTCACACAAGAAATATAACTGCACTGATGATTCTCTGTAGTTCATAATGAAATAAAAATTAATATCTACGATAGAAACTTTATATTTGGACTGGCTTCTTGGTAGTTAAGTTATTAGCAGAAGTAACAACTGGTCAGAAACAATTGTTACACTAAATCTGTTCTGCTTCCTGTCTTATTCACTCCAAAAATCCCCGAAATTCAGTAAAGTTCAGTTTTGATTCGTCTGTTTCCCACCAGTGAAACTCGGATTGCAGTTTCCAGTGGTGAACACATGGTAAAAGCATCTTATAAAAAACAATAAAACCACAGTAAATAAACTATAAAGACACAATAAAACAAGCCACAAGCTGCCGGAAGATACAGACTTTACTTACAGGCATCAGCTGATAAGAAGAGAATAGAAATAAATTGCTTTCCAGCACAAAAGCCTCGTAAAGGTGTGAGACGTTGCATCATTTAATGTGCAAATTAATCTTACTAATTGCAGTAAAAACAGTTAATGAGAGTGTTTCCTTAATTCCTCAATGTGAAGGTCAAACTGGGGCAGGAAAATACTGTCATTGTTTCCTCACGACTTTCAGTGATTTATACCAATATAAAGGTCAAAGATAGCATGCTCCGGTTTGGGTTTAGAAGGTTTTACCACATTTGTGCTAATGAAGCCCTTTTAGGTCTTGTTTAAGAAACAAACATGCTTGTCGAGCCAAAACTAAGAATTCCTGCACAAGATGCAAGAAACAGTTCATTAACAATCAGCTCTCTCAAGCCTCATTAAACAGTGTATAAACTATATTTCTCTGTTCTATATGTAGTTCAGTTGTGTTCTTACATTATCTGAAATGTTTCCAACAATGTTCAAACTCACAAAATCATTAGTCATTTTATTTAGATAACGCTGCGTTTCACTGGTCACCTGTCAATGGTTGTCTGCCAGAAGCTGTCACACATTGACTGTTGATCCAGTCTGAAGCCACATTGTTACCATCCACTGTTTAGATCTTGGTGCTTTTTAACTCTAGATTTGAACCGGATGAAGGATTTTGGTCATCGGACGTCTGGATCTTAAGTTATCAGAGAAACAAGCTGAGCTAACGTTAGCAGCAGCTCGGCTCGCAGCCCCTCCGGGACGCCCTTTGTCTGTCCAACAGCGTGGGAGAAGCAGTGATTGTTAAGGTGGAACTGCTTTATTCAGTGTGTGAGTGGTTTTAATCAGCGGGTCTGTTTGTGTTGGAGAGGAGGAGACCTCTGTGGATAATTGGGCCCCCGGTAGAAACCTCCTGAACCATGAACACTGAAGGAATCCTAACCGGGAGAAGCTGACTGCAATGACACCAATGGTGGTGAAGACAACTACTCCCATGATCCCATGCTGCTTCACCACCTCACCAAACTATTGTATGTTTAATAGACCAACAAGAGCTTTAATGAACACTCCTTGGTGTCCCTTTCAAAGTACAAAACTGATCAATTCCCCTAAATCTCTACACTGGGAAAAGAAATGCGATTAAGGCACTAAAAGCTACACACAAACCCTGAATTCCACTCATGAAAGCCATTTTTTAATTCCTTACTTCAATAGATCGGAACAAACCTCCCTTCTGAAAGCCCCAATTTGCATCCAAACTCACCAACATCTGTCACCAATTTACCAGAACAGGCCTGTGCCGGATACGACTATTAACCAGAGCTGCAGCCTGCCGTGTCTCCTCCGGCTGCACGGCTTTCACCACTAACCAGGACTGAAGGATGAGCCGCAGGTCCGAGCCATTCCAGACCGGCTCGACATGGAAAATAACATGACTGCAGCAGGCCTGTAATTTTGTGTGGCTGCGACCTTTAATCATATCTTGATCTACATCCTTTACCCCTGCGTCTGTCGGTGGCCCAATGCTAATTTGAGACCTCTTATGTCTGAAAGCTTCGACCTGATCACTGTCCCGTGTTTGGTGCCGTTTCACATTTTGGAGACGCGTCAAAGCCAAAGACGACCAGACGGAAACTTAAGTAGTTCTGTCAACCGTCTGTGAAAGTTAAATAATGTCTTTTTTATGTATCACCACTGGAAATATAAGGTTTAATCTTGATGGAGGGCAGATCTGAGTTACTCTGCAGAAACAAATGTGGATACTCAAATGTTTACGTGATAGTTGAATGATTTTGGGCATCATCCTGCTGTTATAACATCCTGCACTCTTCTGATTTCAGGCTTTTAATCAGCACTGATGTCGATAAGGTCTGGCTCGTGTTGGATGGTTGAGGTCAGGGCTTCGTGCAGGACAGTGTTCCAGACCAAACTATGGACGCCCATTTCTGCCAGTAACAAAAGGATTCTGTAAGTCATTATAATGACTATATAAGATATTAACAAAATGTTGACTTAGTACCTCAAAATATTGAGAAAGTTTCTCAGTATTTTGAGATACAAGAAGAAGAAACAACCCGTTTTCTGCTTTTGTTTAAAAAATATAAAACAAATAAATGGTAAATGGTAGTTGGGAATCAGCTCGTTTCTTATTTCAAAATGTAAAATCTGTTGGCAGCAAAGTACACGGATTCGTTTCCAGAGAAGAAACTGTAAAAACCCTCCGTTCACTACCTGCGGAGCCTTCTTCAACTGAAGGACACTAAAATGGACAAAAAGACACTATCATACGCCACTAAGTCGCCAGGCAATGTCTTTATAAAGCCATTATAAAGCTGGTGTCTGGGTTATTCATAGAAAATGACTGGGGCGGTTGTTTTTATGCATGCTGTTTGGTGTGTTTTGGTCTTTAGAGACTTACTGATGAACATAGTGGAGCTAAAGAGACAGATATTTCCTCCAGGAATTGGTGGAGACCAAAATCGGAGTTGAAAGACAAACACAACTCCAGATAATCATGTTGCTCCGTTTATCTTATGGGTCTGAAATACTTCCATTGACTTAATGTTGTTAATTACACAGAGAATAGAGTGTGTTTGGTTGATTATAAGACCTGTGTTGTTGACCTTTGACCTCTTGTCCTTCGGTTGCTCATAAACTCGGGTTAACAGAAGCAGGTCCTGAATGTCATGTTACTTTCTTGTGTTGCAACACCTTGTAGATATTAAACAGAAAGGAGAACGTTTAATTTTAATATTCGAAGCGATATGAAGAGCTATTGAAGATACAGTTAGTAAGATGAATTGCTTTATATTATCTGCAGTTATTATTACTTTTTCAGATAAAAACTCAATAATTAACCTTTTAGTCCTCAGAACTTCCATCAGGTAGATTTTTGGGACCAAACTCTTGTTAACGGGAGTGCAAGTGATCGTCAGTGTGCAGGATTGTCTGTTTTTGTCGCATCAACTTTTTCAAAAACAAATTTTCTTTTCATGGCAAAGGCACGAAAAAAGTCATATTCAGGTTGGATAAGAAGAGCGATTGACTCCCTCCTCTTCTTAACAGGCGATGAGGTGCCGTTGAGCAAGGCACTGCCGTCGTGTAGCTGACTGCCGAACCCTCCCCCCCTTTAAATCCAGCTTTAAAAAACATGACGGAACAGAAAGTTCACAAGTTGTAGTCAGAGTTTGGGAGCGCGTTTACTGCTGTGTAAATGCCACCTCTGCATGTCGCAATAAAATGCTGCAGCAGCCTGCGGTGGCACAGTGGAAAGTTACCGCAGCTCTTCAGCCTGTTTTGGTGCTGCCAAATATATAAACTGGTGAAGTTTAGTCATGGAGCATGCTAATCATGAGGAACAATGGCTGCTGGCTTCCTAACTCCCTGTGTTTTTTGTACAGTTAATCCCAAAAAAAAAAAAAAAAACGGGCTGACAATTCATCTGCTGCAGCTGAAGTGATCAGAGAAAAAGCACAAAAAAACTGATCCATAATCTTGTTGTCAGCCGAAGACTTCAGGAGCCTATTATCTTTTTAAAAGCACTATCATTTGTTTTAATTACCTGCTATAAATCATTTTGTGGATGTCTCAATTAAGAGCAACAACTGCATGCCTCCATTAGCGTCTCAAGATCACAAAGCCATTAAATTCAAACTTCTCAGGCACAAATCAACCTGTCATCCATCCCAGAATCAGCTCACAGACAGAAACATGGAGCCGAGCTGCAGAAGAGGCTGTGGCTCTTTTTAAAGGCGTCCCATAAAGAAAAGTGAGTGAGTGTGGCTGCCAGACGCTGTGGGTCCGAGCCAAGCTGTATTAAAACAGGGTGTATTTTAAACAAAGGTTGCTTTTTAATAGGGCCAGAGGGTGGCATATCGCAGATAGCTGTTGACTTGTTACCGGCGTGTTTAGTGTCAAAAACAACGTCCTGCCATGGCAACATGGATGCCAGGAGCTCTCGCTCATGCAGCGCTGCCAACCAACCTGGAACTGTTTTATATGCAAAGCAGTCACAAATGAAAAGTACATTTTAATTACAGGTGAAGAAAAAAAAGAATGAAATGGGTTTACATAAGACAGTTTATATAACTGCGTCAAATCTGCTCTGGTGTCAACATCATCCTCAAAAGGTAGAAGAATAAATGAGCTGGTCACCAGTGGGTTGCAGATGTAGGGTGTAAAGTTGTAGGGTGACACTGTAACACCAGATAAGTTCATTGAACTAAAAAAAAAAAAATAGCTGGAACTGATGAAAACTAACTCAATTTTGTAAGTAAAAATAAACATTCTTATCAAGTATGTGAGGAATGTGGCTCCAGGAGAAACAACTTCAGACACACGACCTCCCGTCCACCATGCAGGAGGAGAGGCCACAGGATGGATCGGCAAAAAAACCTCGATATAAAAACAGATAAAGACGTCAAACATTCGTCTTTCTCCAAAGTTTCATTAAGATCACATCAGTGGCGATTATGTGCTTGACAGACAGATGATCCTCCAACCTCCACTTTCATTGTTCTCAAGCTGCACGCTGGTGGTGAAGACAACAACTCCCATGATCCCGCGCTGCTTCACCACCTCATCGAACTTCTTTTCTCATTGTTTTGATGTGAGAGACCCTGTAGCCACTACAGGTGTCTCCACATTATACAAAATGTTTCCGTATGTTTTAACTTCACGAAAAGAAACCCAATGATTATACATCAACTTAAATATATTTAAATATATACACAAGTAAGGAAGCAATGACACAATAATAACAAACCTACTGTAGTTGGAATGAATCAGTCATTCAGTTTCTGCTCTTTTGTTTCACTTTTTCAGTTTAAACTACCAGTTGTGAAAATATGAATGAAAAGTCTGAAATGGATTTTGTCTTCGTTTGTGCCGCTGCAGCCCAAAGCTGCTCTTGGTCTGAACTTCAAACACCAAATAAAAAACCCAGCTTGTGTTTCAAGTTCCTTCTCGTCAATATTTCCGTCCAGAAAAATCCTGCATGCGTGACAGTTCATATTTACAACCGAGATCTTGGAAGTCAGCAGCGCCGCGTTACACAACCTGAGTCGTCATGACGAGAAGTCACAAATGAAAAACAACCAAAAAGTTCCAGTTTACTTTATAACCGACAGATGTTGGAGGAGAAATATTGCGACTAAACCGGTGAGGCTGGTGATCTCTGAGCTTTTTATTTGCAGCCTGAAGTTGGGACACAAAAAGTGAATTTGTGAGCCTTTTCGTTTGTGTAAATTTGGTTCCTGGCGTGCCACAGCAAGTCCCTCACCAAGAACAAAAACACCAAGATCTATCATGAATACAATGACTCCTCTCATGACCCTGCACAACCCTGTTCACCTCACTCTGACAGCGCGTAGGAGGACAAGGTGACTGACTGCCAATGACCGAAGCATTGGACAAACATGTACATGCACCTTGGCTCTATGCACCTGGTGTCATAGAGTAATATACAAAGCTTTTGCCAGCACAGAGTTAAACAACAGGGGAGAGAAAGTGAACCTTCACCTGTAGATAACCGCCCAGCTAGAGTGACAAATCTACAGTTTGTGCAGCCAAATCGTGTGTTTTCACAACGTCAACCAGAATGAGACGGATGTTAGACGTTGTTTTCAACAGATATGACAGTGCCGCCCTGGGAAAGTCTCACAAATGTCAGTGCTTTTGTTTTGACCACCAGCTATTTCAAATCTGTATAAACAGACCTGAAGTCTCATAAAATGAGTCCCAATCCAGAGTGCCCCCGAAGGACCATGAGAGTCCTTTAGAGGAAATAAAGGCCTCGTTGAACCTGCATCTCTCTCTGAAATGAGCCAAAGTAATTCTATTAGAAAAAGGCACCACAAGTGTAATGCAAAGCTTTATCGGATCAGATCGGTTGATCTGTAAGGACAGAGCTCAGTAAACAGCAGCCAGCCGGATGTCCCTTTTACCCCATTTCCACCAGGGCCATCTGAGGGGCCTAATCTCAAACCAGTTCTTCACCTTTGGACTGGCTCTCGGCCAGGAAAACTGGTTCCAGCGCAACCCTTTGCTGGTCTTGAACCAAGAGCTGTTTCGATATTGGACGTGGCTCTGTGGTGGCTAAAGGGGGTATTTGAGAGGCCAAGACAGGCCCTTGACACCAGTGGCGGTGGTGGAGGGATAAAACGCTCACTGGAGGATAGAAAGCCTGTTTATGAGTGGCTCAGGTTGTCCTCATCAGCTCATGATAACACACTGGGGCAAATATCTTACACACTGAGCTTTTCCTGTTGCATTGTGTAGATACTCTGTTGCCCCTCAGTTTGCATTAGAGCCACCAGCAGATAAACAGCAGATTGATTAACAGGACAAGAGAGACTCTGAGTCAAAACACAGCAACATGTGAGCACAATTTAAACTGAAATAATAAAGCCGAGGGTAATAACACCGGATCCTCCTCACATGACGATCATATGATGATCAAACTTTACAAATTATTTGCAGTTAATCAAAGAACCCCAATGTCAGCTGGGATCGGCACACAGTAACAGATAAATAAATACATCTGTAAATAACAACATGTTTTAGCTGTTAGAATAAAGAAACCTGACAACAGACACATGGGAACCTTTGGCTTGTAAAGGGTTGGGGGATATATTCAGTTAATTACAATGTGCTGTAATATCTGTAAATGTAGATTGATTTGGTTTATAAACACTGTAGAAAATGAAGTAATTCTTTAATTTTAATTTATTGTTTATGTGTAAATGTCAGTAGATTATTGATTTATTTACTTGATATTTTGAAATATTTCTAAATGTCAATAGATTTTACTGTCGATATTACAGTAAATTTGTTTTTTATTTATTTGAATTTACTGTAAGTGTGTAAATGGAAATAAGTTAATTAGTAGTATAGCACATATAATTATTGATTTATACATTCATTTATAGAAATATTTGTAAATGTAAATAGATTAATCAGTATTATAGTAAATGTATTTATGCATTAATTTATTTGAATTTACCTGAAATGTGTCAATGTAAATAAATTAATATATAATTATAATTATTTCATTATTATTTTATTATTATTATTATTAATAATAATAAACATTGTTATTATTATTATTTCATATTTTATTATTATTAAACATTGTTATAATTATTATTTCATATTTTATTATTATAATTGTTTTGTATTATTATTACTATTATATTATTTATATTATATTATATATATTAATAATAATAATAATACATATTATTGTTTTATTATTATTATGTAATTATAATTAGTATTATTTTGTATTATAATAATTATTATTGTTATTTTATTATAATTATATAATTATAATGATTTTGTGTTATTATTGTTATTATTATTATTATAGAATTATAATTGTTAATATTATAATATAATTACAATTGTTTTGTATTATTATTAATAATACATATTATTATTATTATTATTAATAATAATAATAATAATAATAATAATAATACATATTATTATTATTTATAATTAGAATAATTTTGTATTACTATTATTATTATTATTATTATTATTATTATTAATACTGTAATAAACGCTGAAACTCCTCCTTAAGGTCGGCCCGGTTGGAATGCAGTTTCCCAGTCATTCTTTGTCGGGTCTCGCTCGGACGACCTTAAATATTTCCGCTCTCGCGTTACAGTGACACGCGCAAATAAACGGCTACGGGAGCGCGCGGCGGCAGCAGCAGCCCTGTCAAATCACAACGGGGTGACGCAGAGGCAGAGGATTTACATAAAAGTCCTCCGAGGACTCTTTTTAACGTCTAAAAGTGTCGGTATTCGCGGTAAACCGGCGCGGAGACACTTTAACGTCGCCGTTATGAGACGTTGTGACAGTTTACTAACGTCTGCCGGATGTTTGGAGTAAACAAAAACAACAAAAAGTCCGTTTTTTTTCAGCTGAGAGGCGCACGGGACCAGCCGGGGACTCTACGGGGATTTTAACGACTCATTCACAACTTTATTCGGTCGGTTGTCGAGGGATGTGACTCTACCGAACACGGTTGGACCTGTTAACGTGTACATTTAACCCGGGATTAAAGCCACTTTACTCGACTCCGCTCGCTCGGTAATTCACCATGTTGGCGACGAACACGGCGCTTTACGCGGCGAAGAAACGGAAGAAGCCGGTCCAGAAAATGTAAGTTAATGACCATAAACAGGCACTCAGATCCCGGTAATGTCCCGGTAAAACCCCGGTAATGTCCCGGTAATATGTGGGGGTCACAGGAAGCGGGTATACGGGGGTTTTATTGTACTGAATGACCTCCTGATCTCCATGGTTGTCTGTAATATTCATATAATCCTGAGGGAGTCTGTTTACTGTAATACTTTCACCATCACAGGAACATAACCTGCTTGACCGTGACACATATAAGTTATACAATGTCCATAAAACACCTTTAATGTGTTATTTCTATTCCCTGAAGCATGCATACAGGTAGTAGGCCTACACTGCACCTCAGGATAGGGCTGCTCCATATGGTAAACACATCGTATTGATGCATAATTACTATCAGTTCTGCATCACACGTTTCATTTTCACTGTTAAAATCCCTTTGATGTGACACTTTCTGGAGGTCTGCACCAAACAAACCTGTTGTCTTAAATGTGGAGAACAGACCTGCAGTACTTCAGTTTTTTACATTTTCTTCCATTTGCTTGCTGCAGTTTGGATAACAGTTGGATTCATGTTGCAGCTCTAACATACAGTACAGGTTGCAGCTGTGCAAACACCTCCACAGCAGTCAGTCAGTGTGCAGCCTGTGTTACGGGGTGGTAATAAGAGCGTAGTAGCTTATAAGTTGTGCTCTGTGTTTGCAATAGTAGCCACATTGTCCTTAGTTGAATCCATAAGGCCATAAAGTCTATTTTCCCTGCTTGTGGTTGTGCAATGTTGGCCAGGCAGACCGAGGTAATGTGAAGTGAAGTCCAACAGAACTGCAGGCCTATCCAGCACGGAAAATCAAGAAAACTGTTGCCTCAGTATTATTTAAATCTAATTATACCATCTGAGACAGCTGGGCTTCCCAGACTCATTCGTGCAAATGATCTGTGCTCTAAAACTGCAGGAACTCAATGAATGTATTACTTATTTTCCTTTGAAGAAGCCCTCTCAGAGCAGAGGTATTGGATTGTATTATTTATATATAGTGTGCTCTGTAGGCGGGGAGGCTAACAGCAGAGTGAGTGAATCCCCACATCAGTAAACTCATCAAACCACATTGTAAGTCTCCTTCTGAGTGAGACAAACATGAACTACATCTTGTTTTCCTCTGGATTCCCCCCTCGAGGATCCACGGACGGCCCCAGACCACAGTGTGAGAGCTGGTGCTGCTCGCTGTGGCACCAGAAATCTCCACGGTGCAGTTTTTACACGGGGAGAGCAACGGTGCTTTAATGGTTCTGTCAGGAACCCTTTATTAGTGTTGTCTGTGCTCTGTAATACACCGATTTCTCTTTGGGTCTTTGTGTTTTATCGTGACTTCTCTGGATCTCGTAGAACCACTTCAGGGACCTCTTGACCTCCCGTTACTGGAACTCTTTTAGCTCCATAATGAAAGAATCTGACGAGTGCCGTTATTCTTACACACTGGACTTTTTTTTAGATGGTCTGTGTTGTTAATATTTTTCTTGCAGATAAAATAAATGTATTTAAAAATGCACTTTGGCTCTGATCCGCCTGTAGTCCCGCTCACTGTCTGACGGGTACAGTCGCAGAGCTGCTGGGCCACAGACGGGGGTTGGAAAGTGAAGCACCTCAAAAGTGAACTTAACTGCAGATATATATCGCTTCCTAATATGGGTTATTGGTTTCCTTGATTAAAGAACCCTTTTGAGGGGCTGAAATTGATCCGAATGGTTCAGAATGGACCTGTCTATGCAAGGAACCCTTTGTAGACCCTTAATAGAGCTCATGTTCTCAGATGGAGAACACAGTGGTGCTGTAAAGAACCCTTTATAGAGGGTTTCTCATGCATATGATGTCCAAATTGTTCTTTAGAGAACCTTAAAGGGGAACTTCAGCAGATTTTTACCCGAGTCTTGATCACTAGAGGTCACCGAGTACTGCCGACAGGAAAAACAACGACCAGAACTGGTTCTAGCAAACTGGAGATCCTGCAGCTAATGGCCAGAGCTCCCAGAAAAAAACAAAAAAAGTTTATTTCCCCCTCAAAAATGTCCATGTCTTCACACACTACTCTCCAATTTGCACACTTCCTGCAACAGTTTCTTCTTCTGCGTCTACCTGCAACAAGTGTATGGGAGTTTGCACATCCAGCTGAAGAACAACCAGCCACAACTGCAGTGTCTCATGGTCCTGGAAAGGTAGACGATGAAAGCGTAGGCACGTGTACCTTCTCATTCTGTTGCCACCATTTGGAAAGGCACAAACGTGAACCATTTCTTCTCCACAGTAGATCAACACACGTTATTCTTACTCCAAGCTTCTTCACCTGTGAACACCTCCGATCAACAATCTCAGCGAATCGGAGAGTAGTGTGTGAAGACATGGACATTTTTTCGTTGTGAAGGCATTATCTCCGTGATCGATTATTAAAAACAGGTAGGCGACAGAACTGTTTGTACGGTTTCTGCACAACGTTTGAGTTGAAAAGGCATGTTGATGTCACGTAAGGGCCCTGAACATGTTGCACACACATTTTAATGCATTTTGTGTCTGTTGAGAGGAGCTAAAGGCACTCTTTAGGATATGCCCCCAAGAAGTGTATTATAACTAACTGGGAGCTCTGGCCATTAGCTGCAGGATCTCCAGTTTGCTAGAACCCGTTCTGGTCCAGGTTTTTCCTGTCGACAGTACTCGGTGACCTCTAGTGATCAAGACTCGGGTAAAAATCTGCCGAAGTTCCCCTTTAATGGTGCTGTAACAGGTAGGCCGGTTCTTTAATGAAAGAACTGTGAACAAAAGTTCTCCAAAGCATTTTGTAGAACTGCCTTCTGGGAAAGTTCTGTTCTGTAAAGGCTGTGCATGGGCTGTAAAGAGGTTCTGTAAAGAGGTTCTGTAAAGAGGTTCTGTAAAGAGGTTCTGTAAAGAACCCTGTGAGAACTTTCCTCCTCACTGTGATTTTTAACTTTTAACGAGCCAGACGGCGGTGTTAACTGCTCCATACAGAACCACAGGCCAGAGCGGAGAACCACGGCAGAACCCTGCCAGAACCGTGGTTTCAGCGTGTGTGTGGTACTACCTGCATTAATCATAATCAGGACGAGGAGAGAGAGCGCTCTCACGCAATGTTTCCACGAGGGAGGAGGGAGGGAGGGAGGATGGCGTAATCTGAGACTCTCTCTGTTTTTTTTCTCCTCCTCCTCCGACTGCCACAACATACTTTTTTCCTGTCTTTCCTTCTGTCTCTGTGTGTTTTTTCGTGGGGTTGTTGCTTTCCTCCCTCCCTCAACACAAATTAACATAGTTCTGTGTCACGCAAACGGTTACATAAGTCTGCCATGTTCTCTCGTCTCGGTTTGTAGGAAAAGTTACTCTCGGGGAGTTTATCTTTCTTTTCCTTGTCTTTTGTTTTTGGAAATGCAGTCTGTGTGTGTGTGTGTGTGTGTGTGTGTGTGTGAGAGTGTGTGTGTGTAAGTGTGTGTGTGTGTGTGTGTGTGTGTGTGTGTGTGTGTGTGTGAGTGTGTGTGTGTGTGTGAGAGTGTGTGTGTGTAAGTTTGTGTGTGTGTGTGTGTGTGTGTGTGTGTGTGTGAGACTGTTTAACCCACAAACGAGTCTAGAGGCAATCTACCCCGAGGCAGTTCATGTTTACACTGCTATGTAGAACATTTAAATGTATGCTAATGTCTGCCTGTCTGTCTGCCTGTCTGTCTGTCTGCGAGGAGCAAACAGAGACAGTCTAACTTCGTAACAGGCACAACTTAATATTGACAGATTGCCAAAAGTTTGTGGACACGTGAATATTACACCCACATGAGAGTGGAACACGTCTTCCGTCAACCCGGGGCATTAGTGAACTCGGGGCGTTAGTGAACCCGGGGCATTAGTGAACCCGGGGCGTTAGTGAACCCGGGGCGTTAGTGAACCCGGGGCGTTAGTGAACCCGGGGCGTTAGTGAACCCGGGGCGTTAGTGTGCAGCTACAGCAGCCTCTCACCAGTTGTTGGAGCCCGTCTGCAGAGATTTGCTCCCGAGAGCGTTACTGATGTTTGGTGATAAGGTCTGGCTCGCGGTCTGCGTTCATTCCAAAGGTGTCGGATTTTGAGGTTCGGGGCGGGTTCCAGTAGCCGGGTCCAAGTTCCTAAAATCCCCGGATTACTTAAACTCCGTGGCCAATGAATCCCGTATTGAATCTGCCGTGCACAATCTCTGTTCTGCCCCCGTCTGACTGGAAAACAGGCGACATAGACACACATGAGATAACTCGGGACAGAGTGCGGGGTGCGGGGGGGACATCCTGATATCCAGTTTGTTGGGGGCGGAGGTCACGCTGATGTGCTGCTGCATTAGACGTGCTGTTCCTCTTATGACAGACATGTGACGGACGTCAGTCTCCCAGCTTTCACTTTCCAGATGTTTTGACACCAGTTACTAAACATCATACCACAGTGATGTAACTGTAACCCGCTCACTAACTGTTCTTATTATATTCAACATAACAATAATATTACATAACATTACATTAATACAGTATAGTTATATATATTATATTTTATTACATTAATACAGTATAGTTATATATATTATATTTTATTATATTAATACAGTATAGTTATATATATTATATTTTATTATATTAATACAGTATAGTTATATATATTATATTTTATTACATTAATACAGTATAGTTATATATATTATATTTTATTATATTAATACAGTATAGTTATATATATTATATTTTATTACATTAATACAGTATAGTTATATATATTATATTTTATTACATTAATACAGTATAGTTATATATATTATATTTTATTACATTAATACAGTATAGTTATATATATTATATTTTATTATATTAATACAGTATAGTTATATATATTATATTTTATTATATTAATACAGTATAGTTATATATATTATATTTTATTATATTAATACAGTATAGTTATATATATTATTTTATTATATTAATACAGTATAGTTATATATATTATATTTTATTATATT